TTGATCCATTTATTATTATTACTATTTTTTGGAAACAGGGTCTCACTCTGTTGTCTTGGCTGCAGTGTAGTAATGCGATCCATGGTTCACTGCAGCCTCCACCTCCAGGGCTCCAGTGATCCTCCCACTTCAGCCTCCCGAGTAGCTGGGGCTACAGGCATGCACCACCACACCCAGCTAATTTTTGTATTTTTTGTAGAGATGAGATTTAGCCATGTTGCCCAGGCTGGTCTCAAACTCTTGGGCTCAAGGGATCTGCTCGCCTGTGCCTCCCAAAGTGCTAGGATTCCAGGCATGAGCCACTGTGCTCAGCCCCATTTATATTATACAGTCATCTTCTCTATTCCTAACAGTACTTCTTGCCTTAAAGTCCATTTTGTCTGATATTAATTTTTTTTTTTGTTGTTGTTGTTAGTAGATCTCACCCAAAAAAGACTTCTGTTTTCTTCAACTAATTTGGAAATTACACCGTCTTATTCATTATCCAGTAACCTAGAAGTTATAATCTGAACATTTAACTTGTTCAAGTCTAGAGTTAATTAATACATTTACTCCAAGACAATGTAAGGAACTTACAACAGTTTAATTTCATTTTAATGACTATTATTAACATTTTATATGGTCGAAGTTCGTTTAGATTTGCCATGTATTTGCCATTTGAATTTTCTTCATTCTTTCTAGCATTTTTGACCTTCCATTTGAGCTTCTTTTTTTTCTACTTGAAGTCCATTGGTGATATACACTTACAGCTTTTGTTTGTCTGAAAATGTCTTTATTTCATATTAATTCTTAAAGGATGTTTTTACTGGGTATAGAATTCTTAGCCTGCAATTATTTTCTTTTAGCACATTGAAGATGATCCTTCTCCTATCCTCTGTCTTTTAATGTTGCTTTTGAGAAGTTAGCTCTCAGCTTACCTTACTCCGTTGAAGATAATCTGACATTTTTTCCTGGCAGTTTTTAAGATTTTCTCTTTGTCTTTGGTATTCTGCTATTTTACCACATAGGTCTAGGTGCAAATCCTTTTTGAATTAATAGACTTCATTTTTTTATAGCAGTTTTAGGTTCACAGCAAAATCAAGTAGAAAGTAGAGTTGGTCAGATGCAGTGGTCCATGCCTGTAATTCCAGCCAAGGCAGGAGGATCACTTGATCCCAGAATTTGAGATCAGCCTGGGTAACATGGCAAACCCCATCTCTACAAAAAAATACAAAAATTAATAGCCAGGCGTGGTGGTGCATGTATGTAGTCCTAGCTACTAGGAAGGCTATTAGAAGGATGGTTTGAGCTTAGGAGGTCGAGGCTGCAGTGAGCTGTGATTGCACCATTACACTCCATCCTGGGCGACAGAGTGAGACCCTGTCTCAAAATTTAAAAAAAGAAAAAAGAAAAATTTTAAAAATCAAAGTACAGAGAGTTTCCACATGCACCTCCCTCCGCTTCCACACACAGCACCCCTCAACATCAACATCCTCAATGGGCATTGTACATTTGTTACAATCAATAAACCAACATTATCATTATCAATCGAAGTCCATAGTTTACATTAGGGTTCACTCTTAGTATCGTAAATTCTATGGGTTTTGACAAACTTATAATGAAATGTATATATTATTACAGCATCATACAAAACAGTTTCACTATTCTAAAAATTTTCTGTTCTCACCTATTCATCCTCTCTCACCCCAAACCCCTGGCAGCCACTGATCTTTTTACTGTCTCCATGGCCTTGTCTTTTCCAGAATGTTATAGTTGGAATCCTACACTATGTAAGCTTTTCTAGGTGTAAATTAAAATTTTTTCTTTTCTTTTTTTTCTTTTTTTTTTTTTTGACAGAGTCTTGCCCTGTCGCCAGGCTGGAGTACAATGGCACGATCTCAGCTCACTGCAACCTCCACCTTCTGGGTTCAAGTGATTCTTCTGCCTTAGCCTCCCAAGTAGCTGGGGCTACAGGCATGCACCACCATGCTTGGCTACTTTTTGTATTTTTAGTAGAGACAGGGTTTTGCATGTTGGTCAGGCTGGTCTCGATCTCCTGACCTCGTGATCTGTCGACCTTGGCCTCCCAAAGTGCTGGGATTACAGGCGTGAGCCACCGCACCCGGCAAATTAAAAAAATTTTTATCTGGCCAGGCACAGTGGCTCATGCCTGTAATCCCAGCACTTTGGGAGGCCAAGGCGGGCTGATTACCTGAGGTCAGGAGTTCAAGACCAGCCTGGCCAACATGGTGAAACCCCTTCTCTACAAAAATAAAAAAATTAGCCAGGCATGATGGCGGGTGCCTATAATCCCAGCTACTTGGGAGGCTGAGGTGGGAGAATCGCTTGAACCCAGGAGGCGGAGGTTGTAGTGAGTTGAGATCATGCCACTGCACTCCAGCCTGGGCAACCAAGCGAGACTCTGTCTCAAAAAAAAAAAAAAAAATTTATCTCACTTGGGATTTGTTGGGCTTTTTGTATCTGTAGATTAATGGCTTTGATCAGTTCTGGGAAATTTTCAGCCACTGACTTTTCAAATATCACATCTTCATTACTCTCTCTCTTCTCTCCTGAAGTTCCAGTTACATGAGTATTAGATCCATTTCTCATTTATTCTTCATGTCTTTTACTATTTCTTGCTATTATTTTTAATCTTTATGTCTCCCCATGCTCATTTTGGATGATTTCTTCTGACCTGTCTTCCAATTCACCAATTATCTTTTTTGCTATGTCCAAAATGCTTTAAATTTGCTATTGATTGTTACATTTTAGTTAATCGCATTATTCATTTCTGGAAGTTCAGTGTCTCTTTTCAAACCTACTGTCCCTTTCCATCCTGTTCCAGGCAAATATTTTCAAGCTACTCTATTGTTTATTTAAGTGTGGTTGTTTTATATTCTATGTAAAATAATTCCAGTGTTTAAATTATTTATGGATATGTTTCTATTGTTTCTTGTTTCTTCTGGTTCTTGCAGTGTAGTCTCATTTCCTTATGTGCCTGATTATCTTTTTATTTTTATTTTTTTGAGATGGAGTCTCACTCTGTCACCCAAGCTGTAGTGCAGTGGCGTGATCTCGGCTCACTGCAACCTCCGCCTCCTGGGTTCAAGCAATTCTTCTGCCTCAGCCTCCTGAGTAGCTAGAACTACAGGTGCCTGCCACCATGCCCGGCTAATTTTTTTGGTATTTTTAGTAGAGATGGGGTTTCATCATGTTGGCCAGGCTGGTCTCGAACTCCTGACCTCAAGTGATCCATCCACCTCGGCCTCCCAAAGTGCTGGGATTACAGGTGTGAGCCACTGCTCCCAGTCCTGATTATCTTTTACTATGTGCTGGCCATCATACTTAAACATTTCTTTGTGTGACTAATTTGGAGCCTTGACTGAAGGATCTCCCTCCACAGAAGATTTTCATTTGCTTCTTCCAGAAGCCTTTGGCACAAATAGTGTGGGGTCACCTCAATCTGAGTCCAAGGCTTGAGGTTACCGATTACCCAGGAGATACAAATGAGAGCTGCAAGTCTGAAAGGAGTCCCAATCCAGACCCCAAGAGAGGGTTTTTAGAGGTCATGCAAGAAAAAATTCGGGGCGAGTCCAGAGAGTAAAGCGAAAGCAAGTTTATAAGGAAAGTAAAGGAATGAAAGAATGGCTACTCCATAGGTAGAGCAGTAGCATGGCCCCTGGTTGTCCGTTTTTATGGTTATTTCTTGATTATACACTAAACAAGGGGTAGATTACTTATGAATTTCCAGGGAAAGGTGTGGACAATCCCAGGAGCTGAGGGTTCCTCCCCTTTTCAGACCATATAGGGTAACTTCCAGATGTTGCCATGGCATTTGTAAGCTGTCATGGTGCTGATGGGGGTGTCTTTTAGTCTCCTCCTCACCTTACAACCAGTAAGAAATAGAACCAGGCTAATGTATTATAATTATCATATAGTGAGTAGTGAGGATGACCAGAGGTCACTCTTATTGCCATGTTGGTTTTGGTGGGTTTTGGCCGGCTTTTTTACTGCAACCTGTTTTACCAGCAAGGGCTTTATGACCCATGTGTTGTGCTGACCTCCTATCTCATACTGTGACCAAGAATGCCTAACCTCCCAGGAATGCAGCCCGGTAGGTCTCAGCCTTATCTTACCCAGCCCCTATTCAAGATGCAGTTGCTCTTCCTCTGATTCAAACTCCTCTGACAAGTCCATACTGGGGCTGGTTTACTTCTGAGAGTATGGCTCTTTGGGATCCCAACTAATTTGGGGGAGGATTTTCTATTTGATCTTCCACCATGTGCTCTGGACTTTTATTTGTGTTCCTTGCCTAGAGGAGTTATCCAAACAGCAGTTCAAACTGGCCCAAATCAGGAAGTGCCCCCAGAGTAAATGTGAGTTTCCTGCATGGTTTACCTAAGTTTCTGTTTTCCCTTTAGCTTTGTTCTGGGAATGCCTTACCCTATGGTTGTACCAATATGTTAGTGTTTTTAGTTGTTTTCTTTCTTTCTTTCTTTCTTTTTTTTTTTTTTGAGACAAGTCTTGCTCTGGCACCCAGGCTGGAGTGCAGTGACCTGATCTCTACTCACTGCAACCTCTGCCTCCCAGGTTCAAGTGATTCTTGTGCCTTGGCCTCCTGAATAGCCGGGATTACAGGCACGCGCCACCATGCCCAGCTAATTTTTGTATTTTTAGTAGAGACTGGCTTTCCCCATGTTGGACAGGCTGGTCTTGAACTCCTGACCTCAAGTCACCTGCCCACCTTGGTCTCACAAAGTGCTGGGATTACTGGCCTGAGTCACCGCGCCTGGCCTTTAGTTGTTTTCAATAGGAGAATTGATCTGAGGAACTTGGCATGGCATTCCCGGAAAAGAGAAGCCGGCCAGATGGCAGACTCCATTTGAAAGAGATGGAAACTATGGCTTAGAGAGGTGAGGCCACTGGCCTGGGGACTTGCAGCCAGTAAGAAATAGAGCCAGGCTGCAAGCCGACGGCCGTTTGACACTAAATTCAGTGTTCTCTTCCCCACTCCCTGGCAGCACCCTCTTGATTTCTTCATATGTAATGAAGACGTCAGACGATCTCTGAGGGCCCTTTGGACTCAGATGTTCTCCGATCAGGATTTCATGGCTTTTCAAATCTGTAAGACTCACTCAGCCTCCTCCTCACCTTCAGTCTGGGATTTAGAGAGAATTCCTAGATCACCCATAAGGGGGCAGTGGTGTGCAGAGAGTGCCCAGATTCTAAAATTATGGAACAGCCAAGGGCTTATTTCTTCATGAAGGTCTTTGCTTCTCACTGTCAGAGTAAAACGAAAATGATGCAGCCTAGTATTCTAAGTCCCCTGTCCCTTCTGCTTCATTTGTGCAACTCTGGTTGATGCCGCCTCTGGCACAGAGGATGGGGCACAGAGATAAGTCATGTCGTGTCTCTACCATCGAGGACCCATGGTCCACTAAACCCTCTCCAGGCCAGGTTTCTGGCCTCCTCCCTGGAGCCTCCCGTCCACCCCCATCAGCACCCCCCTCCCTCCCCTGCACTCCCAGCCCAGGCTCTGAATCTCTCTCATGGCTTGAATTCATGTTTGGCCACATGCTTGTATCACCCTCCAGACTGGAAGCTCCTCAGGCAGCTAGGATCCCCATCAATCCTGGACCCCTGTGCCAGCCCAGAAGATCAAGAGTGCTGGAGAAAGGGAAGCTGGAAGAAGATCTGCTAGCTGGGATTCCTGGCAGGGCTGAAGGAGGTCAGAGCCGGCACTGAACAGACTCCATTGTGGCAGCTCCTTTCTCTACTCTGGACTACAGTCCTTTTGGGATCCTGCTTTGCACTCACTGATGAGAAAATGACAAGGGAAGCCTCCAGCTCCAAGAAACTATGGATTTTTAAAAATGAAAGTATAAAAGCCCCAGAAGAAAACATAGGAGAATGGCCAGGTGTGGTGGCTCACGCCTATAATCCCAGCACTTTGGGAAGCTGAGGTGGATGGATCACTTGAGATCAGGAGTTTGAGACCAGCCTGGTCAACATGGTAAAATACCCTGTTTCTGCTAGAAATACAAAAACTAGCTGGGCTTGGTGGCGTGCACCTGTAATCCCAACTACTCTGGAGGCTGAGGCAGGAGAATCGCGTGAACCCGGGAGGCAGAGGTTGCAGTGAGCTGAGAAATGCAAATCAAAACCACAATGAGATACCATCTCACACCAGTTAGAATGGCAATCATTAAAAAGTCTGGAAATAACAGGTGCTGAAGAGGATGTGGAGAAATAGGAACAATTTTATACTGTTGGTGGGAGTGTAAATTAGTTCAACCATTGTGGAAGACAGTGTGACAACTCCTCAAAGATCTAGAACTAGAAATACCGTTTGACCCAGCAATCCCATTACTGGGTATATACCCAAAGGATTACCAATCATTCTACTATAAAGACACATGCATACATATGCTTATTGCAGCACTATTTACAATAGCAAAGACTTGGAACCAACCCAAATGCCCATCAATGATAGACTGGATAAAGAAAATGTGGCACATATACACCATGGAATACTATGCAGCCATAAAAAAGAATGAGTTCATGTCCTTTGCAGGGACCCAGATGAAGCTGAAAACCATCATCCTCAGCAAACTAACACAGGAGCAGAAAACCAAACACTGCATATTCTCACTCATAAGTGGGAGCTAAACAATGAGAACACATGGACACAGGGAGGGGAACATCATACACCGGGGCCTGTTGGGGGTGTGGGGAAAGAGGAGGGAGAGCATTAGAACAAATATCTAATGCATGTGAAGCTTAAAACCTAGATGACAGGCTGATAGGTGCAGCAAACCACCATGGCACATGTATACCTATGTAACAAACCTGCACGTTGACATTATCCCAGGACTTAAGTAAATTTAAAAAAAAAGAAAGAGGCCGGGGGTGATGGCTCATGCTGTAATCCCAGCACATTGGGAGGCAGGCAGGCGATCACGAGGTCAGGAGATGGAGACCATCCTGGCTAACATGTGAAACCCCGTTCTACTAAAAATACAAAAATTAGCCGGACATGGTGGCGGGTGCCTGTGTCCCAGTCTATTCGGAGGCTGAGGCAGGAGAATGGGTGACCTGGGAGGCGGATCTGCAGTGAGCAAGATCACGCCACTGCACTCCAGCCTGGGCGACAGAGCGAGACTCTGTCTCAAAAAAAAAAAAAAAAAAAAAAAAAAAAGAACTAGAGTTTCTGATTAACTTTAGAGCTAGAAAGACCTTTCTATGCCTCAAAACCAGAAGAAAGAAAAAATAAAGAAAAAAATATATAAATGACTTGTATGCTTTTGAGGAAACGCTCAGCCTTATTCATAAGACAATAATTACAACTTTAAAATACAATTGAGATTCCATTTTTCACCTATCAGACTGGCAGAAATCCAAAGGTTTGATAACGTTCTCCAGGCAGCACCATGGAAAAGCAGGCACGTGTACTGTTGTTGGAGGAGGAGAGTTCCCTCCGCTCAGTCCCTACCGGGGACACCATGGCAACATCTACCCAAATTACAAAACACCTGTATTAGGCAGAATTCTGAGGTGACCCTCACTGGCCTTCACTCTTCTGTGGTCCCCTGCCTTTGTATGAGTGTGAGCCCTGTGAATAAGATGAGCATGTGAATGAAATGATTGTATTCCATTATATAGCAAAAGGGATTTTGCAGATTAACTCAGGTTCCAAGTCAGTTAACCTAATGATAGGGAGGTCACCCTTGTTGGACGATCTGATTGGGTGAGCCCTTGGAAAGCAGCAAGCTTTCTCTGGCAAGAGAAATTCATCAGAGATTTGAAGCATGAGAAAGATCCATTGGGCTATTCCTGGCTTGATGTCAGAGGGAGCCGCATGGTGAGGACTGTGGGTGTCCTCCCGGAGCCCAAGGAGGCCCCTCCTGGAAGCCTGCAAGAAACCAGAGACTCAGTTCTACAACCACAAGGAACCAAATTCTGCCAACAACAAGAATGGCCTTGGAAGTAGATTTTCCCCCCAGAGCTTCCAAAAAAGAACCAAGTCTGGCCGCCACCTTGGTTTCATCCTGAACTGAGCACCCAGTTCAGGTGAGACTGTGAGCTAATCAATGGCTGTTGTTTTAAACTGCTGAGTTTATGATAATCTGGCATGCAGCAGTAGATAACTCATACAGTACTTTCAACCTGCAAGGCACGGTGGCGCAAGCCTGTGATCCCAGCACTTATGGGATACTGAGGTGGCAGGATTGCTTCAGCCTAGGAGTTCAAGACCAGCTTGGGCAACATGATGAAACTCTGTTATGTTGAAATATTAACCAGCCGTGGTGGCACATGCCTGTAGTCCCAGCTACTTGGGAGGCTGAGGTGGGAAGATCGCTTGAGCCCAGGAGGCTGAGGGTGCAGTGCATCATGATCGTGCCACTGCACTCTAGCCTGGGCAACACAGCAAGACCCTGTCTCAGAAAAAAAAAAAAAAAAGATACTCTTAAATCAGCAATTCATTTTTGGGAATTTATCCTTCAGGTATACCTACACGCATATGAAACAGTACATATGCACAATTACTTATTGTAGCACTGTTTGTGATAAGAAAAAAGTAGAAAAAACAAACAAACCAGAAACAAATGTCCACCAACAGGGAACTGGCAAATTGAATTATTCTAATCTATATAATAGAATATTATGCAGTGATATAAAAGATCCAGGAAGCTCTCTAATTACCAATGAAGATCTCTAAGATGTGTGATTAGTTAAAAAAAAAAACAAGGTCCAGGCACAGTGGGTCACGCCTATAATCCCAGCACTTTGGGAGGCCGAGGTGGACAGATCACTTGAGGTCAGGAGTTTGAGACCAGCCTGGCCAACATGGTGAAACCCCATCTCTACTAAAAACACAAAAATTAGCCGGGCATGGTGGCGGGCACCTGTAATTCCAGCTACTCGGGATGCTGAGGCAGGATAATCGCTTGAACCCGGGAGGCAGAGGTTGCAGTGAGCTGAGATTGCATCACTGCACTCCAGCCTGGCTGACAGAGCAAGACTCTGTCAAAAAAGCAAACAAACAAACAAAAACAAAACAAAACTAACCAAACAAAAAAACAAACAAGGTACAGTGAGGTGTGGGTAGATTATTACCTTTTATGTGAAAATGGGCATTAAGAATACGTCACCACCTTTGGCAGGGCGCAGTGGCTCACGCCTGTAATCCTGGCACTTTGGGAGACCGAGGCGGGTGGATCACTTGAGACTAGGAGTTGGAGACCAGCCTGGTCAACATAGCAAAACCCTGACTCTACTAAAAATACAAAAATTAGCCAAGCATCATGGTGCATGCCTGTAATTCCAACTACTCAGGAGGCGGAGGCAGAGAATCACTTAAACCCGGGAGGCGGAGGTTGCAGTGAGCTGAGATAGCACCATTGTACTACAGCCTGGGCGACAGAGCGAGACCCTGTCTCAAAGAAGAAAAGAAAGAAAGAAAGAAAGAAAAAATCATTATTTTTGTACCTGCAGAAAGAAACTGTGAAAGAATACATGAGATACTAATAAAAAGTGGTGACTAATGAACTAAAAGTCAAGTAAAAATGGATGTTTTAAATAAGTCAACAGGACACTGCCCTCCTCGCTTCTTCCCTTGCCTGAGCCCGTTCCCTTGCCCTCTCTCCACGGGTTGATTCTAGGGTATATTCCCTATGGAATCCTTGACCACTGGCTTCCCCGCACCTTGCTTCCTCTGCTGCCCTAGGGGAACTGAAACAAGGGTTCAGATAGCTGTGTCTGAGTGAGTCTTCTCTCTGGGATTCAGTTTTCCCACCTGTGAAATGGGGATGACAATACCTCATAGGTTTGTTAGCAGGTTAAATGAGATAACCTATGTCAAGTGCTCAGCCCTGAGAAGGCGCCTGGCCTGTAGTAGATGCTCACAGCATTTGTGCTGCTGGATGTGGGAAAGCCCATTCCACCAAGAGGGAGTCTATCAAGCACAAGTAGCTGGATAATCCATGGTAGTGATAGCTCCTTTTGCTTCCCACTCGGCACTGTGGCCGATTCCTCCCCCTCGGTGTCTCCATTCCTTCAGTTGCAGAGAGTTGGACCAAATGAGCTCTCTCTCACTACACGATTTTAAACCTCCAGTGACCAGGGAGGATACCTTCTCATTCCGTATATGGGTTGGCGAAGGCCAGACGGGGTGGCGACTTGCTCAAGGTCACATGGCGTGTCAGAGGCAGAGCCAGGATTGGCACTGAGGGCCCCTGACTCCCTGCCAGGCCCTTGACCTGCATGCCTCTCTCTGCCCCCACACATTTGTGTCAAAGGAGCCCTGCGGTGACACAGGGGAAGCTCTGTCCCTCCCCTGGGACTCTACTTATCTTCCCAGGTTCCGATTGTTACTACGGAGGGGCTGCTGCCCACCCAGCCAGGTGTCTTCTGGCCTCTCTGCAGGTCTGCTCCTGCCAGGAAGCATAGGCGGACACAAATGCATTACTGGTGTTCTGTGAAGCGGGCACCCCAGGGGACAGGGTGGAGCCTGGGAACAGCCTAGGACTTCCAAGTGCCCACAAGTTGGGGCTCTTGTGTCCACTGGTACAAGCTGTCCCACAACAGTCTCTGACTTCCAGCCGGTCACCTGCAGCTCCCACCTCTCTACCAGCCTCCTGCTCACTGAGCTCCTGACCTTGAGAGAGTTAATTTCCCTCCCTGGGCCAGAGAGAGGGGCCTTGAGCTCTGATAGCCTTCCAGACACTCACTGGCTCCAGCTGCACTTCCTACCCACGAGTTTCACGAGTGCCTCAGGATCCTGAACCACAGATCCCATCTCTTGTTTAATTAGTGTGAGTGAAACTGGTTTCTGATATTTGAACTTTGACCTGCCGTAAAGAATTTGAGCGCGTTTCCCACAGGGAAATGTCTGTATGTCTTA